ACGATTTCAATCTCGAGAAGAATTCTCACGCGACTTAAGCCGAGAAACTGCAAATTTATTACTGGCTTCAATTGGATTTCCAAGGCAGCCACCGCGCGGCGAGGTAAACAGCTGTTGGCAGCGAGAAAGGACTCGAGCCAGTGATAGAGAACCCGCATTGGTCAGGCGGCTCTCCCGATTCGGCTAGCTACAGGCACACCACCGCGCTATGCTATCAAACAGACCGATTTTTATCTTCTCCCTCCCATTCATGCCCTTCTCTTTCACCTCTTGCTATTTTTATCTCTTTTCCTGTCTGCGTCTCGTAGTATTCTCTCTCCTCTCTCTCTCTCTCTCGTACGTTCATCGACAGGCGCCTTTCTCTCCACTTTCGTGCTTTCGGTTCACTCACTCGTCAGATACGCAAAGGCACGCAAAGGCACGCAAAGGCACGCACGGCAAGAGAGGAAAGGAGATAAGTGGTAGTAGGTAAGAGAGTCGAGTTCCACCCCTCATTCGTTCGCAGCTTTCGCCCTGAAATATTCGTTCTCGTGCTGGTTTTTAGCGTGATCAGGTCGATTTCTAATATAGAGTACCCTTTCGACGAGGGGTGAGCAGTGAGCTGTGGTTGTGTGGTGCTGTATGGTGGTAGCGGTGCCGGTGGTGTTCGAGGTGCTCTGGATGATCGGGGTCATTGGGTACGAGGTAGTCAGGGGTGTAGTCGTCTTGGCGGGTGTGGGGCGGGGGCCTCAGTGTACCTTGGACCGGGGGCAGAAGCCGCTTATCGTAACGCGTCGACAGCAGCAGGTTGTCCAGAATCTCCTTGTCCGACTTGCCCTCCTCGAAGCTGCAACACAACGTATTGTAGCTAGCCCCGAAAAAACCACCCCTTTCCATTTTATCACACGTCTCCAACGACGGATTTATATCTCCCTTTCCTCGCTCCTTTTCTTTTTTAATATCGTAGAGCGGATATATCGACAGTCTCTAGCCATCTCGAAGGTCGCTGCTGCTGCTGCTGCTGCTGCTGCTGCTGCTGCTGCTGCTGCTGCTGCTGCTGCTGCTGCTGCTGCTGCTGCTGCTGCTGCTGCTGCTGCTGCTGCTGCTGCTGCTGCTGCTGCTGCTGCTGCTGCTGCTGCTGCTGCTCTAACAACTCTATACATATACATGTAGTATGTAGACCTTCGAGGTGTCTGAAACATTCGTCTCCTCCTCCCTCTCTTTCTCTCATTCTCTCTCGAGCATAATGTCCACACACGTGTCAAAAATGAAACTGAAACCATCTACGAATTATTCGAAGAAAGTACCCAGCTCTCTAAACGCACTATACGTATATGTATATATAGATAATAATATTCTACCTTGGAGCGTCGTTGAATAATATATGTAGATTCTTTCTGTCTGTTGCTTCGATCGTGGCTAACCTCACGGTCGCTATACTTGCTACACGGGCTAAACGCGTGTACGATGCAATCGAACGAGGGGGACACCGGTCGAACGAAAGTGTTCGCGAATCGACTAATAGAACCCGAGAGGAATATACATACGTATGTACATAGATGGCAAGGTTGTTCTCGCGTGTATAAATTTACCTGGCAAGCAGATCGGTGTCACCGACGGTTAGTTAGCTTCTACGAGGCTATCGTCCATTAATATCGCCGTTTCAATGGGTTCGTGGGCCATTTCGCCTCGGTAGGATCGCGACGATGACAAGTTTACGGCCGGTAAAATAAGTTGGCGAACGTAGAAAGGAGAAATGTAGGGGCCAGAGAGCAGCGAACCACGTTCCCTTCGACCGGCGTCGTCCCGGTTAATAACGAGACAAGTTCGCGCAGTATTATTGAAGAAAAAGTAAAACAAGTAGAAGAGCCTTCGAACGTGAAACGGGGCGTGACATTAACGGCGATTCTTTAATTCCATGCAAAGGAATTCATTCTCGGCGAAGTATCGCGATAACTATAATCACCGCAATGTCGCTCCCATCAACCTATCACAAGCAACAAAGTATTCTATTCTAGCGTTACGGTTCCTAGCTTCTCGATAGCGCAGGACTGGCTGTTGGCCAGGGTTCGAGAAAATGCCAGATACCATATCTGAGAGGTGACCAAGGTGTACGATATCGAGAAGTTAAGAGACGCGCCGGTAGTGGCTGAAGAAACTGGTAATTAACTCGTGTGTAGCTGGATAATACGTACATGTCTTCGGCACGCACGAGAGTGACAAGAGTGAGGGCAAGTGTGAGGATACAGAGGATGGTAAAGATGAGGGAGCTCGCGAGGGAGGTGAGAGACAGCGAGAGGACGGACGAGAGGCGGCCGCCACCACCCGCACACCGCCCTAGCGCCACCCAACCCATTCTATGTCATCTGAAACAGAAAGCACGTTTACCATTATTAGCATTCTCTCGAAACCAATATCGCAAAGAGACGTGCTGCCAATCAAAACTCTGCCAGCCGCAAATAAATGCCTTATCCATCTTAGCTCTACAGCGGAGAGAAATCAAAGTTCCCATCTAATTCGCGAAATAATAGTTATTTCTCACACGGTAGACGTTCTCTCCTTTCTCTCGTTGGCCGGAAAGGGTCCCGATACAACCGAGCGTATTAAAAGAGGGGTGAAAGGTTACCCTTCAAAGACCTGTGGATACGTTACTTTTCATCTACGACCTTTTACGCGATTCATACGTATCCGACTTGACGGTTTTCTACCGACCAGACCCGATCCCTTTCAACGGTTTCCACCGACAAATAGGGCCAAGCCCCCGAACAAGAGGAGCACCCATTTCAAACCTCGGATATTACGGCCATCTCCGTTTTACCTCCCTTTTACGCTACCTTTGTTCCACTGGATTGGCTCCAAGCACCACATAAACTAACTTCTTCCTCCTCGACAACAGAGGCAAGACTTAACCTGTTAAGTGGATTCGTTTCTCCGTTCGCAGTACGTGATTAAAAATTTCGTCAAATTCTCCTTCCGAAATAATTTTCTAATTAGAGAACTAAAGTGAATTAAATTCAAACTGTTCGAATTTGAAGTTCAGCCAATGAAATGCAAGACATTCAAAATTTGAATTCACAGCCAATCAAATTCAAATCATTCGAATTTTGAAAATTTGAACTCAGCCAATGCCGCCAAAGTAAGCCCAATTTCAATTCAGCCAATCAAATTTAAACTACATATTCGAATTTGAAATTCAGCCAAACACTTTCAAACGAATTTACCGTCCAGGACGTTTAAATGTCTAAGACTAAATCCTTGTCATCTGGAAGCCAATTTTCTCTCATGGTGAACGCGGGCGGTCCACCAACTCGAAAATTAAATTACGAAAAACGTAGTTTACAGAATCAAAAAAATTGAACTCGAACTGCAAGATTACGGTGAAAGAAAATTTTCGGTTTCGCGTAGCCAGGCAGCTGTTTTAAAACACACCGTGCAAGGCGGCGCGGCGTAGCAAACGCGTTCGTCAAGTTTAAGTTGACCAGCGTAGAGAGTGGAGTCGTCTGCGTTGTCGACTCGCTCGTTTCCGCGTCGCGCTAGCGCTTTTCAAGCACGCTGTTGTGCAGAACCGAGTATCTTCGCGTCGAGGACCATTTCCACTCCTTCTCCCCGACTTCTCAACTCTCCAACTCCTCTTTCCAGGGGACTTTTCTCGTCGAGCCATTCAGAATATTCGCTACTCGAATCCCGCGAGTTTCCGCCTCGCTCGCAAACCATCTCTACGACCGGTCTTATAAATGTAGCTCGGCAGCGTAACTCGCGAATTTCTCGTCTATTCGCGAAACCTGTAGGAAATGTTATACCTACTCCAACTTTTCGTCGCTTCATTTTAAACGCGCAAATCGGAAAGGGAAAGGAGAGGAACGGCGATGTCGACGCGAAAACTAGCTCTTTCCCGCGTCAAATTGCCAATTGGTGTCTTCCACCTCTGTGGCTTCTAATCCGGTAGAGTTAAGTCTGCGTGTAACAGTCAACGTTTAGACGCGAACGCGCTCTACCTTCCCTCCTATGTTTTCTATGTTTTTACAGGCTTTTCGTATTCCACCTAATTACCTACCGTTCCCTTATCCCTAGTTTCCTCCAACGACGATACTTCGCCGCGGTGTACGATACGATACAAATTTCCCCCCCACTACCTAACGACATTTCCGACAATACTATCGCTATTCCGTGTACTTACACTTGCACGCACACCGTTTTCATCTCTGGGACGATAACGGCGCGCGGAAACTAATTTCTGGAGGGAGAGACGTACAGTCGAAACCCTTCGACTAGAACGCTTCGCGATTCCCGCTCCTGCGTCCATGAGTTACCGCATACAAGAGCACGAAATTAAACGATCAACCGATACAGCTGCAGTTTAACCGGGTTTCCTCAGCCGGTGAACTTAGGAACAGTCTTAATTAGCCTGCTAAAGTGCGGATAAAACGAGCCACAAGGGAGACGACGGCCTTTACGGAAAGGAAGAAGAACCGTGGAAGATAAGAAGCTCCAACGTTAGTTTATTAACGAGCCCACAGGAGAGGAAAAAGAAGCTGCTCGATTCGTTCGGAGGAATTCGTTCGAGAGGAGGAGGGTAGCAGCCCGAGGGGCTGGGGTGTAGCGCGACAAAAGAGAACACGGTATATACATACGTACGCGACACGTCCCACCTTGCTTACCCACAGCCTCGTTTTCTCGCGTGCTAGACACGATCGACCTCTTGAAGCCTGCCTCGGGCGTTTCAAGAAGTGCACCGCGTGTTTGCCGTTGCTCGCTCCTCGAGCTTGCACCCAGGTTAAATTGCGCCGCTGCAACCACGCACTGAAATCAACCAGTTGCACGCATCTCTCCCGTCAATCACTTTTTCCTTCCGATTAACTTTCGTACCAAAACCGAGACTCTCCCCGTGAAAAACCATTAAGGTCTCGTTAATTAAGGCGGCGAACGATGAGCCCGAGAGAGAATGAAAAGGGAAATGCGAGGAACGCGGACAAGTAAACAAGGGCAAAGAGAGAAAATTCATTTATTCATTGGACTTTGCCTCGCCGACCAAACAAAAAGTCTTTTCATAAAAGTTTGCTCCGCGGAGAAAAATCCAGCAGGGTTCCCAGAGAAACGAATAAACGAAGCAGGAAAACGGGGGATCCAGGGTGAGCGAGTTTTAACCATGACAGCGGACGTTTAAAAATGTTGGCAAACATTTGGCAAAAAAAGTTGGCAAAAAAAAACACAACCTTCGATTCTCGTCAAATCACCACGGACGGATAGACGAAACGGAACTTACAACGTACCTACGTATAGGTAGTGTATGGATTACTCGATTTCCAATTTCATCCATTTTCGGAAGATCCATATATACTGTAGGTTATTAAACGGAAATTAATCAGATTAAACGACGCGTCATTAGCTTTTTCATTTCTCCCTCCGCATGGAGAAATCGAGTTAATGCCAGACGCGAGCTTCGCGGGTAATCTCTTGTTTGAAAAGGCCTGTGTAACAATCAGGTTACAGGTGTAGCAATCCATTTATGAACGGAGCCGATTGCACAGCTAGCAACGCGGCGCGACGTGACAACAACGATATACTCTTCGGGTTACCTATACAAAAGCCTGCCTCCTCTCGCTGGCTGTGCTTATTAATCGCTTTTTCCCCCGCTATGAATACTTCTCGGTTGCTTCCTCATCGACCGCTCGTCGTGTATTTCTCGCGGGAAATCCTCCATGTGTGCCGTCGTGTGTCGGCACTCTATCGACGCGATAATAAAAATGTATCCTTTCTACGTCGGCAAGCAGCAAAGAAGACGAAGAGTCTGGTAATTTATTCATCGACGGAGGGTGCGGGAGGATCCGGGGAGAGAAGAAAAGAGCGCGCGAGTAAGAGAGTGGTCGTGGCCGGTGGTAGTCAGACCGGCAGGCGGGTAGCTACGAGTAAACGCTACCAACCGTACAGCTGATGTTCGTCCGATCAATACGGGGCGTTGCGGCACGAAACGCTATAGAGTATGTCACGTGGCTTAGCCCGTCCCATTCTGAGTCCGCGGCTCCTTTCCACGCTGCACTCTGCCCCTCCCCTCTTTTCTC